GAAAATTAACCTCAAAATTCATGATAACCGGCTTCCTATAATGAGTGAATGTAAGAACTTGGGACTTTTGATTGATATAGAACTCATATACAAGTTTTGAATTCATTATGTAGTGCATCATATTGCATTTTGGCGCAGTTTTATCCGCATAGGCAAATAATGTCTACTTCACTAAAACTGCAACCGTGTGAAAGATTAATTATGTCAAAAATTAGTTAGTATTTATATATTTGTTATACAGCGTGTTTTCAAAGTTGAGTCATTTATTTTAACAGGTTGTATAACTCGTCAAAAGAAGTTGATATCCCAAAAATCACCCATACAAAGTTGCATAGGTAATAAAATACATTATTAAAATAATAATTATCAAGTTGAAAGGATACAGTTTTTACAAAATCTTCAAAACTGTCATTTGTTTGCTTAACGCAAAATATGTGTAATAACATTCTTAGTTTTTTAAATTCTTATCCTTTTACTATTTCTTTTATTATGCAACTTTTATATAGGTGATTTTTTGGTATATCAACTTCTCTTGAACTTTGGAAACACCCTGTATATGGCTCCGCTCTCAATAGTGAACAAAGCATGTTACAACGTATTCAGACTTCATGAATCAGATGTTCTTGCGGAATACGAATGTTTGATCATGTTTCTCATAAATTTAAGGAGCTTGGTATTCTGCAGATTGTAGGCATGTCGAAACCTCACTTATTAACACTCACACGTAAGGTGTTAGCCGCCAAACAACCACGATATCTGCATAAGAAATTAACACGTTTTAGTAAATTAATCCACTAAATACAAGGAATAGTAACATGTTGGTGGTACCCTTACATTCTAAAGATGTCTAGAAAAATTTAGTTACAACTCCTTTAAATTATATAATGATCCGCCTGTTACGTTAAAAAATAACACACTATTCAATTTTAAAAAGAGGACTAAAACTGCACGTTGTGCTGATCGAAACTTGCATGTCCACAACAAGGCCATGTGTATACCTGTCAACCATCGTTTTCAGGTGCATCGGACTATTTTAGCAGGTTATAGGATTTCCTTCTCCGAGGTTTAAAATTTCAAAAGATGCAAAATCATAGGAATATCCACGAGCGAGATTGCAGTTAATCTTTTCTTGGAAAGTTGATGCCATGTTTGAATGCAAACAAATCAGTCTGGCGCGACATCAGCTAGTTCCGATGTTTGGACCTTTACACTTCCCCTTTTTTGCTTACTGATGGAAATAGAGAAAAACGGACTCAAAACATGCTCCTTGACTCGTCTTAAAAATAGTAACTGCTTTAATTCGGAAATGATTCTGCACTTATACAGGGTGTTTCAGTTTATTGTTGCATAACTTTAAGATTCGATAGAACTTTTACAATTAATGCATAAAGTCTATATAAATATGGCTTCCGAAATACAGGGTGTTTAAATTTGCTTTCTAAAATAGTTAAAATATTTCGAACAATATTTGATGTATAATAGTGAAAATTGGTATACAAGGGTTTTTTGGTACGACAAAACGAACCATGGGCATAGTTTTACTGTAGCCGCTAGAGGGCGCTCTCTACTGTACCTGTAGTGTATTAAAATGACCGAAAATTTTTTCTTAGTGCAATTTTTGCTTTTTGAATAAAAAAACTGATTCTTCGCACTTTTCAACATAAAAAGGCTCTCTTGTGAGTTTTCGTTGTAGTTAGCCGTTTTTGAGATATTTCGATTTTTAAGGTTCGATGCATTTTTAATCATTTATGGGAAAATAATATTTTTTTTACACTTTCGATTTGGGCATTACAAGTAATTAAGATGATCGTTTGGATTGTGTTTTTAAACACAGCAATAATTCCTAACTCCAAATAAACACAAAAAAACAGAATATTAATTTGTTTAATTTTCCAATATTATTATTAACAAATTAAATTAATTATTTACAACTAAAATGCTATTGGATAGTTAGGACAAACATACAAAATCTAAAGTAGTTGCTCGAAATGTAAACCCAATTGTTCAATACACGTGGTATAGCATTATTCAAATAAGGCCTTATTTCATCACATGTATTCCTGATTCTGTCTATTAGCATATCTCTTGTGGTTACGGGAGTCTGGTACACTTTTTCTTTTAGAAATCCCCACACAAAGAAACCTAATGGATTTAGGTCAGGGGATCCTGGAGGCCAGGCGACTGGTCCTCCACGGCCGATCCATCTTTCTGGATAATTTTCGTCCAGCCAGTTTCTAACTATTCTCGAATAATGAGCTGGGCAACTATCAAGCTGAAACCAGGCCAATCTTCTTAAGTCTAACATAACATCATCCAACATATTTACATGTTCAGCATTTAAAAATTCCAAGAAGCATTTAACCTTGCAGGCAAAAGGTAGGGCCCAAATAGTCGATTACGGTAGATACCAATCCACACGTTCACACTAAATGCATGCTGAACATTTCTTTCCCGAACTGCATGCGGATTTTCATGCGACCAAATATGTTGATTATGAAAATTTACCACTCCACGTCTAGTGAAGCATGACTCATCGGTCCATAAAACGTTACTCAAAAGCTCCCTATTATTAGCAGTTCTATCAAGAATCCACTGACAAAATGTGATTCTTCGTTCTCCGTCCCCTGGCTGCTGTCCTTGCACAGGTTGCAAATGGTAAGGACGTCTATGGTCATTTCTAAGAACACGGTGAACATGGCTTGCGTAAATTCCCAAGACACCAGAAACTCTCCTAACACTTGTGGTCGGATCTCTATCAAACTCACGCAGAATCATACGGGTAAATCTGCGCTGACGAACATTTATGTTTTGATCCCTTTGGAGATTTCCAAAACCATTTTCAATTATTTGGCGATGCACTCTTACAAATACTGAGCGAGTTGGATGTCGTCTGTTTGGAAAACTTCGTGCGTATTTTCTGGCTGCTTCTGCTACGTTTCCATTTACAAAGCCATACGCAAAATGAATATCCGCTAACTCTTGATTGGAGAATAAAAATGGCATTTTCATAAAACTTACAAAAAAAAACAGGTAAAAGAAACTAAATTTCGTGCATTCACAATTGCAAAAAAACGTTTCAGGTTTCAACAGACAACAAAACTAACTTTCATCTAATTGACGTTTAACCTTATTCTGCTTTCAATTTCAAAAATATTTGCACGCACAGCCTACTTCTAAAAATTATCGAGATACTGACTTTTTAACGTTATTTCATCATAAATAATTAAAAATGTATCAAACCTTAAAAATCGAAATATCTCAAAAACGGCTAACTATAACGACAATTCACAAGAGACCTTTTTTATGTTGAAAAGTGCGAAGAATCAGTTTTTTTATTCAAAAAGCAAAAAATTGCACTAAGAAAAATTTTTCGGTCATTTTAATACACTACAGGTACAGTAGAGAGCGCCTTCTAGCGGCTACAGTAAAACTATGCCCATGGTTCGTTTTGTCGTACCAAAAAACCCTTGTATATCAATTTTCACTATTATACATCAAATATTGTTCGAAATATTTAAAAAAGACTATTTTAGAAAGTAAATTTATTTCGGAAGTCACGCATTTTTCGACCCATGTTTATATAGACTTTATGCATTAATTTGAAAAGTTCTATCGAATCTTAAAGTTATGCAACAATAAACTGAAACACTCTGTATATCCAAGCATACCATCTACAATTGTAGAAAAGTGAACATGCAGAAACGAGTTGCATGGGACCGCGCGTGTTTCAAAGTCGACGACAGTAGTCGTCGAATAATACCAAATAAAGGTTGTAGTTTCGCTACTTTAGCCATGTGTCGCTTTCTGGGAAAAGCGCAGGCACGGTTGACATGGGCTTATATGGCATGGCCGCGACCAGTCTAGACGATTGTTAGATAGGGTCTCCGCAGGACACCGGTTGACGAGTATCTTGTCTCGTCGGATATTTTCAAGAAAAATGTCTTATATAGGTATGTATAGATGACCCTAAATACCAGTCCAACAATATTTTACGCACCTATTTTGTTTTGGTGACGAATAAAATTCATTTATTATTTTTCTGGCATTCGAAAATTTGATAAGTAATTGCAATTATTGAATACCAAAAACTGGCATCAAGTAGGTTGAATCTGCATTTCTCACGTAACGCTGACATCAGTTCTTGAAGGATTATAACCAGACTAAACATGATACTTTCATCTGTCTGACCAAAAACACAACCAATCATGGGCAGCTGTTTAGTGCTTCTTGGCTACTTATCAGCATGGTCTAGGCTTGGTCTCTTGTGTCTGGACAAACGAACGAAAGCATTGCAACTATCCTCTATACCCGAGGTACGGTCTATCGGAATAAGACAGGACAAAGCCGTTCACGGCTGTTTAGTTTATTGAATGGCACGTAGATCGCATTTACTTTACAGACACAATCGTCAGCCATCTAGCGGTCACGTAGTGATTGGGCTATTAAATCTGAACTGAGATCCCTAACAGTTATATAGATAGATAGATGGCGCCTTGCGCTGTCTTATTTCGATTATTTCCAGCACAAGTTAGTTTCTCTGAAAAATAGGCACGAACATGTATAACAAAAAAATTAAACTGACAAAACAATCAAATAGTTAGTCCATCGAATGCTTTCCTACACTACTGACTGTACCAACCATCTGGCAACGCTGCTAAGACTAACCTCACCCATACCACGCCACTCGATAGCCTGGGTACCACTGGACACTGAAGCAACCAAAGACTACCAAACACAAAAACTAATCGGTGAGATCGAGACGCAGGTGTAACCAGAGACTGTAGCAACGGTATTTCTCTGTCATTTTAAGTTTTAAGGGCAAATCGTGCTTGGCCTCGTAGTAATCTTGTGTGGAAATTTCATCAAAATCTGAGTGGTACTTTCCAAGTTATAAAGGTGTCAAAGATTAGCATAGGACGGAAATAAGTACATGTTTGTGTTCGACCACATGATCATTGAAAAAAGCGGTCCTTACAACATTTCACAATATTATCTTTCAGCACCCAGAATGTGAGTGCGCCCACCACACGTGCGGTCCCAGCTGCGACAGGTGCTGCCCCCTCTTCAACCAACGCAAATGGGCGCCAGGCAGTTGGGCGGACGCTAACCTGTGCGCCCCGTGCAATTGTCATGGACACGCTGTCAGCTGTCACTATGACGAGTCAGTCGACAGGGCCGGAATCAGCATGGATGTGGATGGCAATTATCAGGGTGGGGGCGTATGCGACAATTGTACGGTAAGAGCATGAATATATAAATTCAAATTACATCATAATGCTACAACAAAGTTTCATTCAGTGGAACTTCATTGTTTTTTAAAGAAACACCACCAACATTTTTTCTTTTCATGAAATTCAAGATCTTCTCCAGTGCCATAATTTATTACATCCTGTCCATCTCTTCGATTTTCCCGTTCTTGTCGATCTCATGGATCTTCTCAATTTTTCTCTTTCTTGCCTATCTCCTTGTTCTCTTCATATTCTCGATAGATTCATCAGATTCTTTCACTGTATTTTTCATGCATTATCTATCGTCTGCATCTCTATTTCTCAAATCTTCTACATTTTCACCAACTCATCTCCCTCCTATACTTCTCTATCGTCTCTACCTTGTCCGTCTTCTCCATATTCGCCATATTCTCTATATTCTCTATATTCTTATATTCTCTATATTCTCTGTATTCTCTATATTCTCTATATTCTCTATATTCTCTATATTCTCTATATTCTCTATAGTCTCTATATTCTCTATATTCTTATATTCCTATATTCTCTGTATTCTCTATATCTCTATATTCGCTATATTCTCTATATTCTCTATATCTCTATATTCTCTATATTCTCTATATTCTATATTCTCTATATTCTCATATTCCTCTATATTCTCTATATTCTCTATATCTCTATATTCTCTATATTCTCTATATTCTCTATATTCTCTATATTCTCTATATTCTCTATATTCTCTATATTCTCTATATTCTCTATATTCTCTATATTCTCTATATTCTCTATTTCTCTATATCTCTATATCCTCTATTTCTCTATATTCTCTATATTCTCTATATTCTCTATATTCCTATATTCTCTATATTCTCTATGCCTATATTCTCTATATTCTCTATATCTCTATATCTCTATATTCTCTATATTCTCTATATTCTCTATATTCTCTATATTCTCTATATCTCTATTTCTATATTCTCTATATCTCTATATTCTCTATATTCTCTATATTCTCTAGATTCTCTATATTTTCTATATTCTATCTCTATATTCCTATATTCTCTATATTCTCTATATCTCTATATCTCCATCTTCTTCATCTTTTCCATCTTCTATCTTCTCTATCTTCTCTATCTTCTGTATCTTCTCTATCTTCTCCATATTCCCATATTCTCCATATTCTCCATATTCTCCATATTCTCCATATTCTCCATATTCTCCATATTCTCCATATTCTCCATATTCCCATATTCTCCATATTATCCATATTCCGATACTCTCTATATTCTCCATATTCTCCATAGCTCCATATTCTCCATATTCTCCATATTCCCATATTCTCCAGATTCTCCATATTCTCCATATTCCCATATTCTCCATATTCTCCATATTCTCCATATTCTCCAGATTCTCCATATTCTCCATACTCTCCATATCTCCATATTCTCCATATCTCCATATTCTCCATATTATCCATATTCTCCATATTCTCCATATTCCATATTCTCCATACTCTCCATATCCTCCATATTCTCCATATTCTATATATTCTCTGTATTCTACATATTCTCCATATGCTCCATATGCTCCATATCTCAATATTCTCCATAGTTCTCTATTCTCCAATTCTCCATATTCTCCATATTCTCCATATTCTCCATATTCTCCATATTCTCCATATTCGCCATATTCTCCATATTCTCCATATTCTCCATATTATCCATATTCTCATATTCGCCATATTCTCCATATTCTCCATATTCTCCATATCTCCATATTCTCCATATTCTCAATTCTCCATATTCTCCATATTCTCCATATCCTCCATCTTCTCTAACTGCCGATCTTACCCATCTTCTCCATATTGTCCATATTCTCTATATTCTCTATAGTCTCTATATTCTCCATACTCCCGATATTCTCCATACTCTCCATATTCTACATATTCTCCATATTCTCCATCTTCTCCATCTTCTCCATCTTTGATGTTTTCTCTATCTTCTTCCTTTTCTCTGTCTCCTGCTTCCTTTATCTTTTACATCCCTCTGTTTCCTCATTTCTTCCAATTTCGACTTTTTGGTTGCCCAAATAGTAATCATCACGGCCATTCACTTTTATTCACAGGATTTCACGACAGGCATCAACTGCGAGCGTTGCCTTTTAGGCTACTATCGTCCATTAGGAGTCTTGCCCAATGCCACTTCACCATGTTTAGCCTGCAATTGTGACCAAGTGGGCTCTGTTGAGCTGGAATGTGACATCGAAGGAAAATGCAGGTGCAGAGTAGGCTATAAAGGTGACAAGTGTGACAGATGCGCGCTTGGTTACGATGGATATCCCAGGTAAGGAGGTATTATTTCCTATGAGGATTTCTTAAGGTTAAAGCCTAATCAAAGAATCAGCAGACTTTTGATATCCTTGGCTAAACATTTGTCATGTTACTTAGGGCCGTAACCTCAGTTGTTCCTACAATTGTAGGAGCGCTCTATTTTGAGGTTACATGTTACAAATATCTATTTACATCAAATTTTTCATGTTTTCGATTTATATCATCTGTTGTTATATAGCCTGAGATTCAAGAAGAAAACGTAGTATACATCTGAAGTATCCCAGCCTTTCTGAAGGAAGGCGTTCTACAATGGTAGGAACGACTGACGATACGGCCCTAAAATATACTACTTGCTTCCGTCCAACCAAAGCCAGTCAACCCAGGACAGCAGTTTCGCGATTTATGTTACTCTGCATTTTATTTATTTCTCAAGTTGTCAAGCCATTGGTGAGCTCCAATTTTGCGAAAAAATTGACTAAAGTTTTAGTCGAAGAATGGTTGCCTATAAAAATAGCTGAGGGGGCATAAACAAGCGAAATTGTTGGTATTATTTAAAGCAAAATCTTCAACAATCTATTGGAAAATCCTTTCTAACAGTTTTTAAAAGAGACGCAAAATATCTACAGAATAATATCTGTTTTTCGTTTTCCAGATGTGAAGCTTGTGCTTGTGATGACAAAGGAACAGCGCCCAATGCCAATAAATGTGTCGCAGATACTTGTCAGTGTAAGGTAATATCATGCACCATATTGTTAAATACATCTACCAGTTTTTTCGAGGCAAACATCAAATTTCTGAATGTATCCGCTATTTTCTTGAAATCCATTCACCTTATTTTTAAATACGCCTACCATTTTCAAATCACATTCACCGTATTTTCAAATGCATCCACCTTTTACTCGAAATGCATCCACCATATCATTGAATGTAATTTTTAAACATCTACCATTCTTAAAACGTCAAATATTTTCAGATTTAACACCTCTTCAAAATGCTCGGATATATAAAATCAAGTTCTAAAATGAAACATTAACAGGTTGTCCTGATTTTTCATTTTACTTCCTTTAGGTACACGTCGAGGGTAGATTTTGTGATCGCTGCAAACCAGGATATTTTGGGCTGAGGTCAAACCTTGAAGAAGGATGTCTATCATGTTACTGCTCGGGGATAACGAGTCTGTGTGAGTCGGCTGTAGTTCTCCCTCAGAAGGTAAGCTCATTTTCACCCTAGCACTTACTAAATTTGAGCTCATGAGTCGTGCGATTCGACTCAAATTTCTTGAGTTCAACGTAGACAGTTTAGTTGTTTCCGCATTGATCATTGATTACAGAGCACAACGGCCAATTTGGTGCCGGAGAAGTAAATACTGAATTTGGGTGCGTTTGATAATCTGTTTCCAAAAAGATCATACTTTTTTCATAGCAGATCTAGTTTTCCAGATAAGCGATATAATGTTTGCAAAAGAGCAAAGTGTGCCATTTTAACCCCAAAAAACAATATTGAAAATGGAAATTTTATTGTAGCTAAAATCATTTTAAGTGGTATTGTTTCTATAAACCTTTGTCTTTTTATTACTTTTAACTGACTTGTTATGCCATTGATGTTTATTAAATGGTGGTCATTCACAATTTAAGAACCATCTTTGAATGATATACCAGTTATATGCAATTAAAAACAATAGTCATTGAAATGCTTTGGGATTTTTTGGATTCAGGAACTTTGAACCATTAAATTTTTTTTTACATATATTGTATGTCGGAGTCGAAAATGGCATGCTTGCACTTTTTCAAATATTAAATCGCTTATATCTTGCTCCTAGAGTATCTTCAGAAAAAAAATTAATCAAAAAAATATATTTTTAAAATCAAGCTTTTATTTAGTTGTTAGTAAAATGAAATAAAAATTTTGAAACATTTTTCGGTTTAGAAATATTTAAATAATAATGAAGCTTCTTTATCTCAAGTTTCCAAATAAAAACTTGTTACAGCCTTTTTCCGTCTTACTGCTTATATTTAAAAAAATGAGATAAAAGAGCTTCATGATCGTTTAAGTATCTCCAATCGAGTTTTTTTTAACTTTAGGCAATTTTATTAACAGCTAGGCTAAATGAAAACTTGATTTTAATTTATTGTTCACTTTGTATATTTTACTTTTCACTATTTGTGATGTCAAATAGCTAGTTTGGTATTTTCTATATAATTTTCATATATTTTATCAATATAATTTCAGAAAACCTCTTACCTCTTATCTGTGTTTTAAAATTTCAATAGATATACGAGCCCCTTCACACTTCAGTTGGCCCACTGTTGTACCAAAATTTACCTTTATAAACTAAATATGACGAAACTATTTACTTCTAAAACAATTTATTTTCTCAAAAACATTTTAGATACACTCTAGTCGTAAAAAATACATATTTGAAATCACTTAGACCTATAACTAATAGAACATCTGAACAAATAAACAATGTGCGAATAAATGAGCGAAGTTAACAAAGCAACAATTGAAAGATTACCATTGGGTAACATCACCTTTATTTTTTATTACGGCTGAAATTCTTTGGGGCATAGTGTTGACCAAGTTTTGGCAAAAATTTGGTGTAAAACAATCCCATATTTCTTGAAGCTTTTGTCTCAGTTCGGTGATTGTACGAGCAGGATGTTGTCGTAGAACCTTTTTCATCTCGTGCCACAAAATTTCAATAGGTGACAGATCTGGACTGCTGAAACACAAAATCTTGGCCGGATGTCAAACATTCTTCCATCACTGGTAAAAGCGATTCTTCTAAAATTGCCAAATATTTGTTTGTATCCACATTTCCATCAATAAAATGAAGTTTTCCTACTCCTTTTGATGACATACTGCCCCAGACCATAATGGATGCTGGAAATATCACTTTTCTCTTCACACAGTCAACATGGAATGCTTCAAGTTTTTTGCGAATAACCCTACTGCGACTGTCACCAACACAAACTTCGAATCGGGCCTCATCACTCCATTGTATTGCACACCATTGTTGAAGTGTCCATTGTCTATGTTCTTTGGTCCATCTAAGCCGATTTTTCTTTTGCAGTGGGGTTAATAGTGGCTTTTCTTCGGCCTATAAACAAGTTGTGCAACTTTATGGTTTTTACTTCACTTTTTATAAGAAAACTTACCTTGCAACTGAACCAGTTATGTTATATCTTCTAACAATATTTCTCACACTGTACCGCGATAAGTCTAACAAAGTTGCAATTTCTGAGTTTGATTTCCCAGAATTAAAAATTTAATTATCAGTAACCGAATTTTCTCACTAATAACCTTTCCTGTACCCATTTTGAAAACCTTAACTACCCAAAACTATTTTAAACGTATTCTGACAGCTGTGATTAATAAAAACAATTGTCATGGCTTTTATTTTTCACAGCCACCTATGCGTTATAGACTTATTTTGCATTGAAATGAAAATAGGTTGATATGCTGTAATTGCAACATGTGTTATTTTTATGCTGCAAATTTGCTTAGGGAGTGATAAAGTTGGTGTTTTCTACTATATATTATCAAAATATTCATTGTTAATATTTTAAACCTATAATACCCTGCTACATTTTTATTATTTCTGTTTGATAAAAAAAAAAATAAGATTTCAATAGTTGGGCCAACTGAAGTGGGAAGAAGCTCGTAGATCATGTAATGATGCATCGATATTTTGTGGCGATCGCCATACGGAATTTAGAATGACGTTATTTACTTATTGTATTTCTCTCATTGAGCTCTTTCATTTGATGCCCATATCACAGTAGTGACCATGGAAATTATAAATTGACATTTAGCGGCAGCCAACATACTGAATTTAGAGTACAATCACTTTGCTTGTTACGTTTCCGTCATAATGCCCCTTCACATGAAACCTATACCATAGAGAGTCGAAATTATAAATGTTATGTTTCTCTCATAACAACCTCTAATTTGATACCTACATGATTATGTGACTATGGTAATTATAAACGCGATCTTGGAGCGGTCGCCATATTGGATTTAGATTGACGTCACAATGGCTATTGTGTTTCTCTATTCAAGCCGTCCCATTTGATACCCATAACATGGGGTTACTATGGAAATGAAGAATCGTCATTTTCTGGCATCCGTCACACGAGACTCAAAATGGCGGCAGTTAATTGTTATTCTTTTTCAGTTGGTCACCTGGTTCCAAATTCAGTTCCAAAATTCGCCCCACAGTTCATGTTGCATAAAAGCTTGCAAAAATGGACGACATTTTTTAAATCAGTGGATTATGGACACTTAGAATCAATTGTTACCTCTTCGGTACCATTTTCCTCTCATTTTTTTGGGCGGTCTTATTTGTTAGTTAATTTTTTTATGTAGTTTTATTAGGTGTAGGTATATTATATGTAGGTATTAGTAATACGAAATCCCATATTTATAATTATTTTAAACTAACAATAAGCTTACTTGAATGACCCTCAAGTGGAGATTTAACATTTGTATTTCACAGTGGGCTGTAACAGTTATCATCGTAGGTTTACGAAGATTCCAAATTTTCAGCACTCCCAAAATTTTCAATTTTAAAAATTTTCGGAACCGAAATTACAATTTTCAAGTATTTTGAAATTTTTAATCGCTACTTGACGGAGACTCAAGTTGCGTTATTTTTCAAAATCAAAAGGTTCATTAACCCTCAGTTGACACTCAGCCCTCAAGGATTGACTATAAATGTTGGACTAGGTTTCTCTACTTGAACTGTACTATTATCCAAAACTAGTAACTGCCGTAAAATGAAGTTTCCATAGACAAAGACGAATTTCAGCCAAAAGATGAAAGGTAATTCTCCCACACCTTCGATCTTATATCCATAGCTGAATAGGATTTCGCGCTGCCGGTGGAACTTTCAAAGAAACAAGGGGCTCTTTGAAGCGGAAAGAGCCGCCGAAAATTCTTATTATGGACCGTCTCGCTGCTTTAAACTTTTAAATTTTAGGTCAATTCATGCGAAAGAGGCCTGCCAGATCGGGGATAACTTGAGGATGGCAATTCGATTGATTATTAGCATCTCCACCGTCTAACTCGAAGGAGAATACCTAATTGCTCTTTTGAATTTTGCTCCAACAATTATTCCAGTCTGGTGGACAATTATTATTATAAAATAGATTCTAGAAGCTCTTTTCGAGTTATTTAAAACGGTCGAAGTTCAGCCAATGATTAACGTATTCAACCTGAAGATACCCAATTGAAATAAGCATTAGAGAAGCGTCAAAAGGGATTGAAGATCCTTGCGCCATCTATGAGACTCTAGCAAAGAGTAATTATACCAAGAAAATGCATTTCGTGAAATGTATTTATAATCTGCGGGTCGTCTCCATTGGCCTTGGGTTTCTTCTGTATTATAGTGGAGCAGCTGACCGCAAATTTTTTGTTGCATTATCGTATTCTGAAAAACAAGTTAAATGTTACGTATTTTGATGCTAGACGGCAAACTTGCTGATCCGGATCAAAATATCTAAGATTTGACTTGTTTTAATACTATCACATCAGTACGCGAGGTAACCAAAACTTTTAGGTTGGCTCTTGGACTATTACTGATTCGCACGTAGATGGCACGACATTCCAAGAATGATCCGCGCGTTTCTCTCATAGGTGACATGTCCCGAGGTGGTGTTGCCAAACTGAGATAAATGCTTATAAAACGTTACACTTATACCACAACTTAAATAACAGTCAGCTGTGAAACTCTCTGGTCACTATAAAAACCGGCCGCCATTTCGGAGAAGGTCGAATGTAAATTCGACCAGTACAAGGATGAAAGATGTTTTAGTGCTCAGCAGCATCCGGTGTTGCCACGTACCCTGCCAGTGGCCTCAGATATTATTTGCAATCGTAAAAATTATACTATTCGGATATGATCTGGTGTAGCTTGTGTGAACCAATAATAAAAAGGACTATGTTTGTCCAAAAGGAAGTATTTGAAATGAACAGAAAAATATTCACTTTTGTCATAGATTCTTCACTACTGCGATATTCTCAATCCATTCCATTTTCAATATAAACACTGTTAAAATCACCACAATCAATCCTGCCACTTCTGAGCTAGGACTTTTTAATATGTAAGCGGTTGTTAATTCCGATAATTCAAATACCTAGAAGAGTTAATTATAAAAATTACGCTCCTTGGAAAATATGCTGCTCTCCACAAGGCAACTCATAATCAC